AAAGAATAGTCCTATTGTCACACAAGCGTTCTACAATGCATTTACTAGAATCAAAGATGACACGGTTACCTCTATCGCACAATTGGCTAATGCTAAGAAGATTGTGCTTGAGGCCCTCAACAAGAAGAACGTTCTCAACGGTTGTAGCATTGTCTCTCCCGACGGTGCCACTTCCAATTATTCTTCCCTTGTTGTTGTCACCAAAAATGACATTGCCACCTTTGAAATACTCTAAACTCCTAAATTTGGATGCGTCTCCGGTCATGTGCTTGGAGCATCCGCTATCGAGATACCAAGAGGTACTCGAAGCCTTCAAGCACACCTACAAAAAGATATCAAGGAGACGGTTTAGGTACCCATATATTGTTGGGTCCTTTTTGGTTAGCATATGTGCGATGTGTGTGCGTTTGTTGAAAATGCCTAATTTTGGTGAAGCACACGGGTGCAATGTGACCTATCTTATTGCAATAGTGGCAAATAACATTTGGATTATTCATCCTATATGGTTGAGTGTAATGAGTTCTAGGTTTGCTAGGATGTGCTCTTCTAGTTTGATTATTTATCCTAGCATTTTTATTCCCCCTAGCTTTAACAAATGTTGTTTTTCTAGGTTGGTTTTTCTTATATCCAAGTCCTTCACCATTACTAACTTTTTGCTTAAGTATTTTATCTAAGGTGTTTGAAGCATTATTGAACTTTCCCAATTTACTTTCCAAAGTAGCAACTTTAACTTTTAATGAAGTACAACTAGAGCATGTAGAAGAAGAAGTAGTTGAAGGTTCTTGTGGCCTTTTTCCAAAGGAGATAATTTCTTGTTTAAGTTTATCATTTATATTTTTGAGTTCTTTTATATCATTCTCAAAAATCAGGATTTTTTGTTTAACTTCATTATTTTCTTTTGAAGCCTTTTTGAACATTCCTACTAAATCTTCTATAATGCAAACAACATCATTAAGAGTTAAAGGCTCATTGGGAGAAGGTTCTTGATCACTTACCTCTTTTGATGTATCACCATCTTCAATGGCCATTAGGCATAAGTTGGCCACTTCCTCCGTTTCTGAGTCTTCACTCCCGGAGCCGTCGTTCTCCCAAGCGATGTAGGCACGTTGCTTCTTCGGTGCCCTCTTGTCCTTCTCGTTCTTGAGCTTCGGACACATTGGTTTGATGTGTCCAATTTCACCACACCCATAGCATTTGGGTGGAGTGTTCTTCTTGGCTCCCTTCTTGAGCATCATCTTCTTGAATTTTCGGACAAAGAGTCCGAGGTCGGTGTCGTCGCTGTCATCAACTTCATCATCAACGTTGTTGTGGGTTGATGTTGTTGCGGGTAGAGCAATAGACCTCTTGTTCCTCTCTTCAACCACCTTTGAGAGTTGGGTGGTTTCGTAGGTAATAAGATTGCCTCGAAGAGCATCATAGGTCGTTGTTTGGAAGTCACGACCTTCTTCGATTGCATCCACCTTTGAACGCCATTTGGGGGATAGGCTTCGCAGCACCTTTCTCACGAGCTCTCGGTCGGTGTAGGTCTTCCCGAGAAGATTGAGAGGATTAATGATGTTAGAGAACCTCTCAAACATTTCCTCAATCTTCTCGTTTTCCTTCATTGAGAAGAGTTCGTACTCGTGAGTAAGATGGTCGATTTTGGCCTCCCGAACCTGCGCGGTTCCTTCGTAGGTGACCTCCAATTTCTCCCACATTTGTTTTGCGGTTTCACACCGCGAAATTTTGCGGTAGTCATCCGCATTAACACCGCAATAAATCATGTTTATTGCCTTTGCGTTGAGCTCCATCTTTTTGCAATCTTCGTCGGTGAACTCCTCTTCGGTTTTGGGAACGTTGACTTCACCGACTTTCTTCATCGGGACTCCGCAGCCGTTCTTCACAATCAACCATAGCTTGTAGTCGTTGGATTGGATAAAGATTCTCATCCTCTCCTTCCAATACGAGTAGTTTGTTCCATCGAACAAAGGTGGCCTCGTGGTTGATTGTCCCTCGGTCACTCCTGCGTTGAACATCCTTGATGCCATTTGATCTTTTAGTTCCTGAAAAATAACGTATTCGAAGAACTTCCTGCTCCGATACCAATTGTTAGACAAATGTGCAACTCTAGAGGGGGGGTGAATAGAGTTGTT